TAATACATAGTTTATACACATTTATTAATGACATCCTTGTTGGAAAAAAGTTATTTAGCATTCTTGTATAGCAGATAGAATGATAGGAAATAAGTTCCAACTGTAACCTTGCACATGTGTAATTAATTATAGGATAGATTCTCTATCTCTTTGAGTAGAAAACCACTAAGCTTCTTCCCTTCTAGTATTAGAAGCTTCATTATTTTAGGGTAGCTGTTAAGACTTAAGTTATTTGTATGAGTGTATGTATAAATGCATGTATTTAAATGTATACATTAAAAGTAGAAACAGTAGATAATTACTAAAAGAATCAGTCCAAAAGAAGAGAAAGGAAATTTAAACTGGCAATACAAAAAGTATGAAATAAAGCAGTAGCTATGAATTCAAACACTATCAGTAATTAAAATAGGAAATGTTAGGACTAATGATTCCAGTTAAAAGACAGAAGTGTATTGTATTTACAGGAAATATTTATAAAGATTAAAAAATACACAAAGATTGAAAGAAAAATTTAAGGTATCATGTCATGCAAAGTCTAATGGAAAGAAAGTTGGTGTACTTCCATTAAGTTACATTATAGTTGAATAATTATTACCAGAGTAAAGAAGGGTCATTGTATACAGATAAAAGATTTAATCCATCAAAAAGATGTGTTAGAAATTTTATGTACCCAGTGATATAAATTCAAAATAAAAATCCAAAATTTGACAAAACAACAGTGATAAATAGATAGATGATTATTATAGTGGGAAATTTAAACATGCTTATTCCTGATAGAACAATAGACAGAAATTGCTTAAGGGTATAGAATGAAGGTCAGTGAACTTTTTCTGAACCAGAGAGTAAATAGAGTTTTCAGGTCACCTGAGATCTGTTGCATTGTCTTATATTAATTTATTTTTAACTCTTCAGAATTATAAAAGTCATTCCTTACCTTGAGAGCCAATTCCTACCTTAAAGGATTTCAATTAGGTACTATAACTTTCTGCAAAGAGAGCTTTGGCTTTTCTGGCAAATTTTAGCAAACATTTAAGAAATGACTATAGTAAGGTCACTTTTACACAAGCAAAAAAAAAAAAATCTTGGAACATTCTTCAACTTATTTTTTAAGGCTAGGATAACCTTGATAACAATACCTGATAAAAAACACGAAAATGGAAGAACTGAGGAAATCTCATTCCTTAAGTGCAAAAAAAAAAAAATCCCAGAAAGATCATGGGGCAAATGAGTTCAGTGGATAACATCAGGAACAAGGTTGTTTTAACTTCACACTAAATGAGAACAACTGTTTTTTCATTAAGTGCAGTAAACTTGATACAATCCAATATTCATTCTTGATTAAAAACCAAAAACAACAAACTATTAGCCAACTAGGAAAAAGGAAGAGAGTGTCCTTAACCTAAAAGAAAAATTATTATCAATAATAAACCTCTAGTAAATATACTTTATGGTCACTAGATGAACATTCACAAATCAATTCCAGATTTATTAAAAACTTAGATGTAAAAGGCAAAACTAAAAAGCTCTTTGGATATAAGATAGAAGAGTGTTTATGTGACCTCAGGATACAAAAGAATAACTTGGAACAGGCCAAAACGTGCTTAACTGTAAGAAGAAGGTTTTATGTTCAACCTTACTAACAACTGGAATAAATTTGATCATCAAAAGACACATTGGAGGGCTGGGAATGTGGCTCAGCGGTAGATCGCCCGCCTAGCACGGGCGGGACCTGTTTTCAATTCTCAGCACTACATAAAAATAAAGGCATTGTGTTGTGTCCATATACAAAAAAAAGATATTTTCTCTCTCTCTCAAAAAAAAAAAAAAGATACATTGGAGATAATGATAAGACAAACCACAAACAGGGAAAAGATATTTCTAAAAATATTGTATAATGCTGAATATCCAAAATACACAGACAGCTGCAGCTTGGGGGAAAATTGTGTAAAAGACTATTGAATATTGAATAGGAGAAATCTAAATGATCAATAACCAGAAATATATTCAGCCTTGTTAGTAATCAAATGCAAAAATCACACTGAGATATCATTACACCATTAGTGTGGCAAAAATAAAAATGTCAGTTGCATTAAAGCTTGTTACTGTGGGATTGGAGTCTCATCCACTTCTATAGAAGGGTAATAAGTTTTACAAGCAGTTTGGAAAACAGGTTGGCATTATCTAATAAAGTTGAAAACGGTTATGACAATATATATCCTAGTTATAGAGATCTTAGATGATACTATTCCACAAGATGCTCAATAAAAAAGTTTTCATAGCAGCATAGTTAGTGGTAGTGGTTGTTTTGTGTGTGTGCTTGTGTGTTTGGTGGTACAGGAGATTGAACCCAGTGCCTTGCACATGTGCTAGGCAAGAGCTCTCCCACTGAGCTACATCAGCCTCCACAGCATAAACTGTACTAGTACAAACTGGAAATGCTTTTCAGTAGGACCATGGATGGCTTGTGGTGTATTCATACAGTGGAATGCTTAACAAAGTGAAGATGAACAAGCTCCAGCTCACAGTGCTGACTGAGGCGAATCACAAAGGAATGCATAAAGTCTGATTCCATTACATATAGACAACAAACAGGAGGAACTAAACTATAATAGATGGTAAACTGACAACAGAAAGCAAACAGAAAATAGTCTGGTCACAAGGGTCAGATGTGGAGACCTCTGAGTAAATGAACGTATATTACCACAAAGACCTGTGGGCTTCAGGGCTGCAACCAACATCCTGCTATGACTATTTGCCGTTTGTGCACATGAGAGAAAACATCATGTGCTATGACTGTTTTATAAAATAAGCATATCAATTACTCTGACATAAAATACACAGTAATTTTTAAAAACCAGTAGCAAAATTGTAGGAAAAAAATTATATTTTAAGAAAACGTATTACAGCTTTTGACTGTTTGCAAAAACAGTCATCTTTTTGTACCACAGAATTGTCAAGCTGCAAAGTCATGTTACTGAGTAGTAGTCAAAGCAAAGTAAAAACAAGTATTGTTTTTAAAAATCTGTATTTATTACTTCCTAGGGTTTCTCACATTCCAACATCTTTCTTTTTTTTTTTTTGTTTTTTTTTTTTTAAAGAAAGGGTGGATTTTTTGTTGATCTCTTTGTAAGAGTATCTAACCAAGTTGCAGTCAACATGTACAAGCAATTGGGCTACAGTGTGTATAGGACGGTCATAGAGTACTATTCAGCCAGCAACGGGGAGCCCGATGAGGATGCTTATGGTAAGCTCCCTTCCAAAGCAGTAACTCCAAGAAGAAGCCAGAACAGTTAAATTTTTTCTCCAGGTTGAAATATTCAATTATTTTAATATATTAAAAAGAACCATATTGGACTTGGATATTTAAATCACCTTTAACATGTTTATGAACCTTATTAGTGATTAATTTACATTAACTAACCAGTGGTCAGTTTTTATAAATTATTATTTCATAATATTATGAGTATGGTATTTAAGATCGAATGTGTATAATGAATTAAATCCTGGGTGGGGTTTGGTTAGCATCTGATACACTTGGAATTGGAAGTCTTACTTATAAATACATTTCTCTTAGAGTCTGGAAGTGGGAGTATAGGACAAAATCTTTTATGGGAACTTTATCTACATACATTTAAAATTTGATATGAAGTGTTTTGATACTTGGATACTTCACATTAAACTTTGCTTCCTAACAGATATGAGGAAGGCACTTTCCAGGGACACTGAGAAGAAATCCATCATACCATTACCTCATCCTGTGAGGCCTGAAGACATTGAATAACCATAGGCAGTGGTTCTTAGGCAGTTGTTCCAAATAGTTTATGGACAATATTATTTTCATTGGATGATCTTGGAGCACTATTAGGAGAAAAGTAATCATTTAGGTCTTAAAGACTTTAAGAAAATACAGGATATAAACATTTTCAATCTCATTGTTTCCATTTAGCAATATCACATGTCTTAAAGCTGTTTGCTCTAATAAAATTCAATCAAGAAGGCAGCTAGGTCAGAAGGAAGCTTTCCACTATCATGATTCATAATGTCCACTATATGCCGGGAAAAGACTTGCTCCAGCCTCTTAAATTCTGTGCCTGAGAACCACTGCTGCATATATATATATATATTTTTTTTATTTTGTATTGAACTGTTAATTGAAGCTTTAAAAGCATATATGAAATGTATAAATCTAAGATGTATAATAAAATACATTGTTGATTCTATGTATGTTTTCTGGGTGTCTGCTGGTCATTTATACAACTAAATCAAGATTATGAAAGGGCATCAGATATATTTTTCTTACTTTTTTTTTTTTAACTACATAAAAATAAGCTGCTTGTCCTGTACAGATTCTTCCTAGTTGTTTCCTGGATTTTTTTCTTTCTTTCAGTACTGTTTAAATCCTGCCTTCCTAAATACAAAAAGAAGCTGATTTTTTTTTTTAAGAAGAAAAGGAACGTAATTCCTAAAGAAACCAGACCATAGGCTGACCATGTGTTTTCATATGTAGTTTCATTACCTCTAGCATCTGAAAATATCCAATAAGTAAAAGAAAAAACTAAAGAAAAATCCACATGAAATGATTAAAAAGCTTTTACTGTAAAAAGGATTTTGGTGAAGTTCAGGAAAAAGATAAATGCATCTTTTATGTTCTCCCATAGGAGAATAACTTTCCTTCCAGCATTTCACACTGGCACGTTTGTTATGATCCCTAACTTTTTCTTATGTCTACACGCAACCTAAACAGAACAGATAATTCTAGGAAGACTGGCTGGTCATTAACGTTCAGACCTATTTTTGTCTTTCCCCTTGACTGCATATTTAGTAAAGGACAATCAGATTCTCCTAAGACCTCAGTCAGTATAACCAATCTGACACCCCAAAGTGTGAGGTCCAGTAACAAAAGCATAAGACAAAAAGGCTTATTATTCTGTTTTCTTGTGCCCTCAAATGCCCTAATTTTCAAGATAGAAATTAATAACCAAGTCTCTTACTCCCTTGGATGAATTTATACATTTAATATTAAATTTACTTATTAATGGTCCTACAGGTGAGAAAGAGTCTTGAAAATACAGCTGGATGTTTGTGTAGTAAACAAAGCAAAACAAAAAAGTATGCTTGAAATACCAGCTAAGTTAAATGAAACAGATCAGTTTTTCTGCTTGAGAATGTAAGTAATACATCATAATATTAATAATGTTTTCATTCTTGTGCTACATTAAGCTTTCATTATTTAGTATATGGTACCTTCAGTGTTTTTACGTATGCTCTAAACCCCTAGGCTAAGTTTAACATGTTGGGTGTTATGAGTAAACTTTTTTTGTACTTAGCACACAGAGATAATATTCTAGATAAAATTTATAATTCCATTGTTCATTAAATTTGGGAAACAATAGGACACCATCATTATGAAGATTCATGATATATAGCAGTATACCAAAGGCTCCAAGAAGACTGATTTTAGAGACTCCATTAACAGTTTAAGCTTTAATCTAGGATTTCCCAAACTTACTTGAAAAGGGGGCATCATTTTTCATAGCACATCTTATAAAACAAGTCAAAACTCAACTACAAAACTCAAACCAGTTTAAGGAACTAATAATGGTATAATTGAAACTAAATGTTATTGGTAAAAATGACTTCAGAAAAATAGTCACTGTAAGTTAACTTTGCAATGTTTTTAATAGCTTTTGGTATAACTGGCCACTATTGAGAAGGTAAAGATGTTTTGATGTTAATTCAAGCATATCCTGATTTACAAGGAATGAACATATTTAACACTGGAAAAGAACAAATGTTTTATCCACTTACTGTGCACCAGGTATTTTTCTAATATAATTTTGAAATGTGCTGTCAAAGAATTGACCTATTTTACGAGCAAGGAAACTGAAAAAAAAAAAAAAGGTTAAAATACACAATCACTAAGTGGCAGTGCTGGAAACTGAATTCAAGATTGACTTTGAAAACAGTAAAAAGTTATAGGTTTCATGAATGCATAACATTAGAAAACTATATCTGAAATATTACTGCAGACTGTAACCTGAAAACTTTTTTAAAAAAATGAGTCAAAATAAATCTGCAGGTCCATCTAAAATAGATGCTAAGCATAACCTCAATTACATTTCCTAATGCATGATATAGACAAACATTAGGAAAGTTTGGAGTCAAGTGAAGAAATCCAGCATTTAAAAAATGCATTTACTTGCAATTCCTCACCCCTACCTAATCCAGAGCATTTTAAAAATGATTCAAAAAAGTAGCCATCAAAAATCCCAAATAATTCCTTGCTGGTGAATATAAAAACTTCCAGGAGTCTGAAGAGTTCCAAACTGTCAATTTATAAAAATAATAAAACACTTTTCAATACGAAGAAAATATCAGGATTCACTCTCATCCACATCCTTATCTGGATCTTGCTCAGCAGCCTCCTTTTCCTGTTGCTGTTTCTTCCAAAGTTTGGCCATGGCCAAGAGCTTGAGGTTAGGTTGGTTGGCAGCATCTTCTGGAAAGATGTAATCATAGTATTCTTCCCATCCTGCATCAGACTGTAGAAATAAAGCAAATTAAAAGGCAAGAAAACATTTGGCTTAAATACATTTCAGTTAAAGCAGAGAGTTTTTACTGGAAACCCAGAGTTCTAACTCAACTTGTCTTCATTTACAAAACAATATCAAAATCTACTACAAAAAAACTCAAAAGCCAAGCCTGAAAGATAGGACATGAATAAGCAGCTGCTAGGTTGGTGTTGCTGGAGTTGTAGCTCACCAAAATGGGAAAATCTGGTGGAAGAAAATTCTGCTTCATAGTCAGCCAAGAAGATAGTGTCTCTAACTACATTTTTCAGTCTTATGTTTAAGATTTACACTTTTAAAGATTTTTTACTTCACATGTATCTAACAGCAAAAGCTATATACCTGTGCATTATTATTATGATTCCTGCCCCTTATATCCTTACCTCCATCTTACTACTGATTTCACTTGCCAAAATTTGCTCTTCTAGGCCCCACTTCTACCTGCACTTACTTAGCTTACAAAAACAGCTTTCTCACAGGTTTTCTTTATGCAATCTAAGACTCTTAAGCTTTCCTGTATGAAATAACAGCAATCTTGTTATGTCATTTTTAAAAAGCCTTTAATAAATTCCCACCAAACTCTTTCCTATGCCTACAAAACTTTGTCTGCATTAGCTCCACTTGGTGAGTTTATTTCCCTCCACATTGACTTCCTACTTTAGAAATATCACATTTTATATAGTTCCTGGACTCAACTATACCCCCAAAGCTTTTGCCAATCCCCATCCCAATCCTCTACCCTGGCTATCCTTCCTTAGTAACTGGACTGCAAGTGACTCTTACTCTAGGCTGTGTGGTCCCATTCTCATGTTGTATATATGCCAATTGCAAAAACTTTAAACTCATACATTTCTACTCATGTAACACATAGCTTCAAGGCTCAGCTCTTACCCCATCATCAGCCTGGACCTTTCTTCTCTTCTTGACTTTTTCTGGCATGAGTTTGTCTACTCTCTCCTTATCTGATGCTGTTCCAAATTCATCTTCAAAGCTTCGCCAGGATTCTAGCAGCATAAGTCTCTCTTCCTTTTCTTCACAGTTTCGCATGGTTTTGTTAGCCTCTTCATAAATCTGTCTACATTTAGCCACACTTCCTTCTTTCCCTGAAGACAACTCAAACTGAGCAAAACTGATCCATACCTTAAAGAAAATTATTAAGGAATCAAATTAGCAATGTCATCTAGATGGCAGTCATAATAATAATAAAGCTAATTTCTAGTTCATGATATCTGAATATGATATAGTCATTTCTAGTGTTTCACAGAATACATTGACTATATGAGTCAATGTAAGCATGGAAGTAATTTGTTTCTATATCTGATAATAACCATGAAAAGAGGAACTTTTTCCAATCTCATGATATCCAAGATATTCACATGCAGTATAAACATATACATTGTATAAGTTTAACATTCACAAGTCCTCTGAGACTTGTGGGTTCTCATTAAAAGCAAAGAAATAATTTAAAATAAATTTTCCTTTTTTCCTATGGCACTGGAGATTGAACCTCATGCATGCTGGGCAAGTGCTCTACTACTGAGTTACATCCCAAGCCTTTCTAAAATTTTTACTTGGGATAGGGTATCAATAAGGTGCCCAAGCTAGCCTTCAAGTTCTGATCCTCCTGCCTCAGCCTCCCAAGTACCTGAGATTACAGATGTTTATCACTATGTATAGTTAAATTAAATTCTCTAATAAAAAAAATTTTTTTTAGGACTGCTAATTCAAGCAAAATCAAAGATCAACAACAAATCACAGGATACCTTGACATGTTGTGTTCGCTGAAGCAATTGTCGATAAAGATTTCTTGTTCTTTCTGTTTCTTCCTGTTCAATTTCAAAATCAATATATGATTTCCAAAGCACCTAAGAAAAACAATAGGTCAGTCTTAACATTTACAAAGCAGATGCACCCATCCAAAGCACAAATTACCGATACTTTAATTTACATCCAAGAACAGAACTTATGCTAAGGAGTTAATTGACAGCAAATGAATGAAATAATAATATCTGCATTTATAAGCTTGCTAAAACTCGGCTAGAATTCTAGACTACAGGCCAAAAGACCATGGATTTAGTTTTAGATTCTCCTTTGGAGTTTTTCCAAAATGTTCAATTTAATCAAGAACTGAGAAATAGCAAGTGTCTCCCAGGTACTTTTATGATTCTGCCACATGCAATTAATCATGAGGGAGAAAACTGGCCCAAATTAGCCAGTATGTCTTAACCTTTACTGTAAATTCCTTGTTATTTGAGTTAAACTCAACAAGTATTTATTGGATAGGTGCCTACCTGTCAAGCACCAGGATAAATAAACTGGCCTGGACATGTGGGAGCAGCAGTCTAGTGGAAGAATTAAGGCCAAGAGATGGAACCAGATACACAAAGCACTGTCCTGATGTGGTCAGTAGGGCCTGAACCATTAAATGTAGGGTCATGTTAAGTCAATACTGACAAAATGGCCAAGTGAGTTGTGACTCTAGTGTCACTCAAATCAGTCCTATAGTCTGGCGCCACCATGTGGCTAAAGCTTAACTACTGAAAGCTGGCCAGGACAGCAGCAGTTATAATTCTAGACACATTATGGTTTGGTTGGAGCCTCTTTTATTGGTCCGATCCAGGCAAAACTGTACTAGAACAGGAATGTGCAGTCCCCACCTCTATTTCTCCTGTTCTCCACATGGGCTACCTGCTGGCTGTTTGCTTGCCTGGCCTTCTCTTCTCTTCCTTTCCAGGTTTGAGGAAGGGAGGAAGAGAGCTCATCATCCATGCCAATATATCCTAATTCATGCTGGGTGTCTACTGTGCTCTGGTAGCTAGCTAGAGGCCTTCATTTTCCAACTACCCTCACCCCTACCCATCTTCCTATCCTACAAACAGAAAAATCCTAATCTGAGTAGAAAAGATTGTGGCTAGTCAGATCATGTTTATATTCTAAAACACTCTCTTTCTCTTAGATGATTATCTAAAGGAATACTAGAGAAGTCTCTAGAACAAAATATATGCAACTTGAGATCCTCACCTCTGGCATGTCTAAGCGTGGTTGGCTGATGGCTAACTCATAAATGGCCCGGGCTCTTTCAATATCACCAAGGATTGTCTCTAGTTCTGCAAATTTAATCCAGGAGGTACAATTTTCAGGCCCAAATTCCAGGAACTTTTCATAAAGCTTCCGGCATCTGTCAAATTCTCGAAGCTGCAGCTCCAATTCTATGTAGCCTTTAAATAACTTGTTCTTTGGACATTTGCCTATAGAAGTTCCCTGAAAAATAAAATGATCAGATGACTGCAATACCTCAGTGGGTTGCACGATCATTTCAACATGGCAGTCCATAATATTGCTCTGTGGTATAACACTATTCACAGTGGCTCTTGACAAAAGACCAGAAGACACTTCTCTAGCTCAACCAGCTGACAAGATGGCCTGTGCTCACTGGTACCTAATCCACTATTTTGGACTTTAAACTCTCTCAGAAAAAATGGATATTAAAACCTCCTTCAAATAAAAAGCTAATCAAAGAGTGAAACTTGACTTGCTGTCCACAGCCAAGGTAATAGTAGCTTATCTGAAGAGAAATCACAATTAAATATAGTATTTGATCCTATTAAAATTTCAAAACAATTTTTAGGAGGAAGATGCATTTAATACACCAGAAGTTTGCACAGGACCAGACTACTGCATCTAGTCTAAGGGCAGATTTAGCAATTGGTAGCTATAGATATTTCCAATATTGAAAGAGAACGTTCACTTGCCCTAGGTAATAAGAATAATTTAAGCATCATCATCTGACGAGTTTTTCCTAACATGTCCCAGTTTATGGTGATAGGAATTTCTGTTGTGTTTTTAGTAGAGCAGAAACTGTACAACTTGTAAGCATTAAGATTTTAAATTCTTTCTCAAGAAACTTCATGAGGCATCTGATCCTTTCTTTACTTACCAAAGCTCTTCTGGCAAATGGTAAATTTTTCTGTCTTATTTCAAATTGTGCATAATATAACCACATTTTGGCAAACGTGAACTAGGAAACAAAAGCATAAAAATATTTAACTGAAGAAATTCATTTAAAGTAAGTTGAATTAAAGAAAATTTAAATTAACAAAAGGCTATTGGCAGTTAAATTTTCCTGAAACTTCTGAGGCAGGATGTATTTTGCTTACTTACAAGTAAAGATTTCACAACAGTTACAAACATCATGATTCAGATACTTTACTGTACTTCATGACACTGCAGCCTCTCCTTGAATAGGCCTTGTTTTGTGGGCCGCTTGTATGTAGACAGAATATCCTATGTCTATTCTGAGAAGATAATTTGGCCAATACTTCAACAGCAGGAAAGACTTTGTTTCTTGTGCTAGGAAACATGGCAGAGGTAACATCTCAACCATCTCTAGAGAAGCAAGGGATGCACTCAATTATCAACAAACACAGTTCTGTGTCTCTCACATATGTTGTGTGAATTCTTGTCAATGTCTTCCTTTCTACTCAGCCTATTCAAATTACCCAGCCTCTGAATTTTTACATTATCTATATTATTAATTTGTTTCTCAATACAGGTTATCCTCTGTGTAATCTCATTCTTATTTATGTTTTCCATGGTGTCTAGTCCAGGGAAATAATCACTAAATGTTATTTCATCCTATCATTTCACAAGTAATACATGAGAATTTTGTCCTGGTTGGAGTTGAACATTTTAGAGCAAGGATACCTTTTTGTGAGGAATTAGTTCCAAAGAGGCTTGATACACCTGTCTTGTCCTTTCAGGATCCTGTATAAAAATTTTTCACAAAATTTTAAGTTTATTGCTAACATTAACTTCACTAGTTACTAATTTTACCAGTAAAAATGTACAAACTCAACACTGAATATGTTTTCTCCAGTGACTATTTTCAAACCCTGATTTCATTTATGATTAAAAATGGCCAAACTTTAAGAAATCACCAACAATACAGACATCGAACTCTATGAGTGTTCTTTGTAGAAAGACTCTGCCTGACAGCAGAAAGAAAGATGTTTTATGTTCTCACATCAATAACAGGTTAATCTTTACCTGTTAACTCACATACATGACCAATTTCTATAAATGTCATTTAATTTTAACCTCAAATAAAATCGTATAATCTTGGGGCTGGGGATATGGCTCGAGCGGTAGCGCGCTTGCCTGGCATGTGTGCGGCCCGGGTTCGATCCTCAGCACCACATACAAACAAAGATGTTGTGTCCACCGAAAACTGAAAAATAAATATTGAAATTCTCTCTCCTCTCTCTCTCTCAAAAAAAAGAAAAAAAAATCGTATAATCTTATGTGAGCTACATTTGTGGAAAAAAAACATAAATTATAGGAAACTATATAAAATTAATATATATAATTAACCTGAGGGCTGGTTCTTTATTCCCTTTCAAGTTCCAAACGTTATCTTATTTTCAGGTTTTAAAAACAAACAGTGGTTTAGCATTTGCCTAGCACGTGTAAGGTCCCGAGTTCAATTCCTAATGCTTCAAAGAAGACAACACACACACAGACACACACTACTTAAACTTTCCCACAACAGGTATAGAGAATTTAAAATGTTGCAGAGAGAATGTATAATTTTATGGCTGAACAGAAGCCTGTAAGAATTTAAAATTAAACTTCTCTGTTTCAAGGATTATAACTATCATCCACTACCCATAACAGACAAGCTATGAATACACACTCAACACAAGGAAATCATTAACAGCTGACATAAAATTCAATATTTTTACCTTTGCCTCTAATTCTTCATAGAGTGCATAGTTGATCCAAAGATATATGTAGCGCTTCCAGTGCCTCTTCTCCTGAATGGGTGGGACATTGGCAATGGCTCTCTCATAGACCTCACGCACAGTTTCAGCTTCTGCGTCACTTTCCACCAAGCGCAAGTAATCAAACCATGCATCATAATTGTGTGGATTAGCCTAGAAAGATAAGCTGCTTTATCAATAAAGACAAAACCAAAGCTATACTATGTGAGCTGAAAAGAGGCACAGAATGACTCTTTATAGATTAGCACCTTTTCTGTTAGATTTTACCTGTTATCTAATTTAGAAAACACCGTTTCTGAAAATGTATAAATAAAAAATAAAAGGAAACCAAAGGAGAGGTTACTGGCTAGGTGTGGCCCTTTCCTCCAGAGTCATCACTCCCAGATAACTACTCAATAATGAGATATCATCCTTATTAAGGTGCACATACATATGACTACATATCACTGGATTTATAATAAAATTACAGTGGATTTTTATCATACAATTATGAAACCCTACATTTTCAGAGAATAGAAATTTTTCTTGAAAATACCTTGCTGACCTACCACAGCACTTAACACCAGAATTACTCCTTTGCTTGGAGAAATTTTAATCTAAGCAAAAATAATTTTAAATATATAGCATAACAGTGAAGGAAAATGCTATTATTTTAAATTGAAATCAACACAGTACATAAAGAGATGAGAATAGAATCATATCTATGATACATCTTTTGTCCAGGCAGTTAAAGCTAAAGGGCAATAATGTGCAAAACAGGATTTTAGATACCTACAACTCTTCCATCTTCTTCCAAAAATGAGCTCAACTGGTTTCTACATTTCTTTTCAAGTTCCACATACACAATCAGCAACCAATAGATGACTTTCCACTTGTGAATGGTAGAGCAAATCCAATATAGTTTGCCTGCCTTTTCTATCAGCCTCTATATTCTAACTTGTCTGAAATGTACCAGCTGATCACAGATCTTTTTAAGAGTTACCACTGATAGTCCTAACTAGCCATTTTTTATGCCAGAGCAGCTAGTACTAATGAGCACTTCAGAATTAACCACCCACACCAGCACCCACCTTCACTTCTTCTTCATACTGGAATCTCCGTTTGCTCACGATGATGTCTTCAATACCCCTCCTGTCGCCAAACTTCTTCTCAAAGATGGTATAATTTTTAAAGAGTTCTTGGGCCTCGTGTTTTGGAATTCTATCCAGGGCATACTTATAGATGACTCGTACCCTTTCAAACTAAAAGCAGATAAGATGACTACCTTCCATTACACATTCTCATTCTAGTCATGGAAAAAGAGAGTAATTGTGGTATAAACTATAAGATTTTAAGTTATCAAAATGTCCAAAATAAACCTTTTCTTCTCTCTTTGGTTGAAAGTATTTGTGTCAGAAGCTCTTCTTTGAGCTTCACATTTAATGCTGGCTTGCTAATACTTTAAGTTGGAGGATTATTGCAAATCTCAAACTAACCAGGACCCAAACTGAACTTCTTTCTCCCACTCCCAAGCTGGTTCTTTCCCAGTCTTCCCAATCTTAGTAGGCAACACTATAGTCACATGCTAGCTCACATCAAAATCTCCTCTTTGTTCCTTTTCTTTTCTCATTTTCCACATTCATTTCTTCAACAGGCCCTGCCATTTCTACCTCTTCAACACGGTCCTTTTCTTCTCTCCCTGTTGCTGACCTATCTCCATTTCTAACCTGGATCATTTCAAAAGTATCCTCATAAGTCTCACCTCATTCTATTTTTGCTAATCCCATCTCCTCTGCAATATATTCTCTATAAACTAGCCAGAAGTTTTCCTTAAATATTTTAAGTTTTCGTATTCGATCACCCACTTTAAGCCCTTCTATCCTTCCCTTTTACAACAGAACCTGGACTCTCCAGCATTTGTGCAAAGTCTCAGCCTAACTCTGTCAAATCTACATTATTTGAGGTACTGTCAGAAATTCTTTTGTATAACTAAGAAAGAGAAGAACTTATTTTGTGGGGCAATATCTGTTTCATTCTGAATTCTGTTCTCTGTTCTGTGACTTTTTGGCTTTTTGCTGTCCAGGTTTTTTACCTTCCTTTAATGAAGCTGCCAAAGAACTCTACAGTTTATAGACATTAAGATTTAAAAGCTTAACTTTCAAACAAATAAAACAAAATTAAGACAATTATAGTGAAATCTATAATCACTCAATTCCCAATCTGCACCTCAGCCATATATGTATGTTATTTTCTTTATGAAATTATTTTTGTCTTTGCAAAACATTTTCTCCAAAGATGAGTAAGAAAAAAATGGAAATGACCTCATTGTGCACAAGATGTAACCTTTTCTAAGATGTTTCACAATGCAATCAAGTTACTGAAGTATACTTACTTCTTTCTGATTTTCCTCAAATTTGGCAAAGGCAACATAAAGGTGTTCATCCATATGTTCATCTCCAAAGAATTCAACAGCTCTCTCATACACTTTCCGTGCATGGGCAAAATAAGCATGTTTTTCTTCAAAGCGGGCATACTTGATCCAGTTCTTCACATCAGGGTGTACAAGGACAAGTACAGGGAAATTAAGGAAATACCAGGAAAGATAACATGGCTTTAAAAAAAAATCACATAAATACCAAAACCATAATAAACCCTAACACCCCAATAATTCAAACTACCCTCTAGGGTTGATAACCAACATACAAAGGTGCAATAAAACTCTTCCCTGGCCTTCACAAGGGTATTTGCCTTTATGTGCCCTCAGTGTTTATTCAATATTGTAGTAGTGGGTATAAATAGAAGTTTGAAGCCAAAGAGAAATCTCAATGCAGGTTACTAATCATGTAATTGCAGACAAGTAATTTCATTTGTTTCAGCTTTATCTTCTGTATATATGGAAAACTAATACCAACCACAATAGGTTACTGTCAGTTTTAAATGACAAAAAAATTTATAAATCCCTTACCAGTTTCTGGCTAAAAGAACAGAGTCAAGGGCTGAGGGTATAACTTAGTGGTAGAGTACTTGCCTAGCATGCATGGGGTTCTGGGTTCTATCTTTAGTATTGCAATAATAAATTTAAAAAATAAGGGTTTTCAAGATGGTGGGCCAGAGAAGGCAGCATTCTGTGTTACTCTGTAATCCAGATCTCACCTATTCGGAATACTGCATCTCTGAGAGTGTTAGAGGACCCCAATACAGCTGCTCTCTGTAGAAATCACCAACGCTGTGACCCCACGAAGGGCTCTAGACCTCAGCGTTGGAATAGAACGCCTGGCATTCGAACAGGACGCAAAACCCGAAGTTCAAGACCAAAGTTCTAGCCCACGCAAAGCTCTGGAGTGCCTTAGCAGAATCACCTATCAACACATCTGCAGATCGCCAAGACTTCGCTCAGCTCCCACGCAAGTCACTAAGCTGCTACTAAGCTGCTACCTACCCATAGCACAACGCCATCATCTGACTCCCCCCTACCTCACCAGACACCCCGGCGCTGAAAGGAGACTGCCTCCATCTTATTTCAACATTCTCGCCACGTTAGGTGGGGGAAGCTCCCAGATCAGATCTCCAGTGGCCAGATAACAGCTTTCCAACCTCCCCCCTCCCCAGCAGCGGTAATCCAACATAGTAGCTGCCAAACACAGGTGTGCAGTGTGACCACGGAGCTTTCCATGGGAACCGCGGTGTGGGAGGTTCCTCAATTGGGAACTGCTAGGGGAGAGGGAGATGGGGCTAAAGTTTGGAGCCTAATGGAGAAACCAGGAACTAGGAAATCTCCAGGCAAGATAGGGAGATAGCACCAGGTGCTCAAGTCATACGAGTGGTCCCAAAAAGAGACCCGTGAGGTGCAGTCTTCCTGAAGAGACTGGCGGGTGCCACTCCCCGCTTCCAGTGACCTGCACCAGGACCAGACTTCCCACCCTGGTTATCTCCACCATCCTGAGGTCAAGACCAAATTTAAGAGTTATTGGGATAGAGGAAGGCATAGAGTTCCAAACCAAAGGAATGAGCAATCTATTCAATGAAATAATATCAGAAAACTTTCCAAACATGAAGAATGAATTAGAAATCCAAATTCAAGAGGCCTACAGGATACTGAATGTACAAAATTAAAATAGATCCACACCAAGGCACATTATAATGAAAATGCCCAACATAGAAAATCAGAAGAGAATTTTAAAAGCCACAAGAGAAAGGAATCAGATTACATATAGGGGGAAACTAATTAGGATAACGACAGATTTTTCAACACAGACCCTGAAATCCAGAAGACCCAGGAACAACATATATCAAGCTCTGAAAGAAAATGGGTGCCAACCAAGAATCTTGTATCCAGCAAAATTAAGCTTTAGAATTGAATATGAAATGAAAACCTTCCATGATAAACAAAAGTTAAAAGAATTTATAGAAAACCAGCACTACAAAACATCCTTGGCAAAATACTCCATGAAGAGGAAACAAAAAACAACAATGAAAATCAGCAGAGGGAGGTAGTACCCTAAAGAAAAAACTAATCAAAAAAGAAAATCAAGTCAAGTTAAATAACAAAAATAATTTTATGGCTGGGAATACAAACCATGTATTAATAATAACCCTGAATGCTAATGGCTTAAAGTCACCAATCAAAAGACATAGACTGGCAGATTGGATAAGAAAAAAAAATATCCAACAACATGCTGCCTCCAGGAGACTCATTTGATAGGAAAAGACACACATAGACTGAAGGTGAAAGGTTCCAAAAAATCATACCACTCACATGGACTGAGGAAGCAAGCTGGGGTTTCCATCCTCATATCAAATAAAGTAGACTTCAAGCCAAAGTTAATCAAAAGGGATAAAGATGGACATTACATACTGCTCAAAGGAACCATACACCAACAAGACATAACAATCATAAATATATATGCCCCAAACAATGGTGCAGCTATATTCATCAAACAAACTCTTCTCAAGTTCAAGAGTCAAACTGACCACAACACAATAATCTTGGGTGACTTTAACACATCTCTCTCACCACTGGATAGATCTTCCAAATAAAGAAACTATAGAACTCGATAATACAATCAATAACTTAGAATTAACTGACATATATAGAATATTTCAACCTGCATAAAGCGGATACACTTTCTTCTCAGCAGCACATGGATCATTCTCTAAAATATACCATATAATATGCCATGAAACAACTCTTAGCAAATACAAAAAAAGTAGAGATACTACCATGCATTTTATCAGATCACAATGGAATGAAATTGGAAATCATTGACAAAATAAAAAATAAAAATTACTCCATCACCTGGAGACTAAACAATATGCTACTGAATGAACAATGGATTGCAGAAGACATCAAAGAGGAGATTTAAAAATTCTTAGAGGTTAATGAGAACATAGATACAACATATCGAAATCTCTGGGACACTATGAAAACAGTTCTAAGAGGAAAGTTCATTGCATTGAGTTTATTACTTAAAGGAAGAAAAAGTCAACAAATAAATGACCTCACATTACATATCAAAAGCCTAGAAAAAGAAGAACAAATCAACAGTAAAAGCAGTCGAAGGCAAGAAACAATTAAATTAGAGATGAAATCAAAACAAAAGAAAAAAATGAAAAAATTGACAAAACTAAAAGTTGGTTCTTTGAAAAAAATAAATAAAATTGATAGACCCTTAGCTATGCTAACGAAGATAAGGAGAAAATTTAAATTACCAGCATATGTGATGAAAAAGGTAATATCACAACAGACACTACAGAAATACAGAGGATAATTAGAAATTATTTTGAAAACTTGTACTCCAATAAAATAAAAGATATTGAAGGCATCGATAAATTTCTTAAGTCATAAGATTTGTCCAGATTGATTCAGGAAGATATACACAATTTAAACAGATCAATATCAAGTGATGAAATGGAAGATGCCATCAGATGCCTACCAACCAAGAAAAGCCCAGGTCTGATGGATACACACCCGAGTTCTACAAGCCCTTTAAAGAAGAACTAATATCAATACTCTTCAATTTTTTTCCAGGAAATAGAAAAAAGAGGCAGTACTTCCAAACTCATTCTATGAGGCTAATATCACCCTAATTCCAAAACCAGGCAAAGAACATCAAAGCAAGAAAACTTTAGACCAATATCTCTAATGAACATAGATGCCAAAATTCTCAATAAAATTCTGGCAAATCGAATACAAAAACATATCAAAAAGATCGTGGGGACTGGGGATGTGGCTCAAGCAGTACACGCTTGCCTGACATGTACGCGGCACTGGGTTCGATCCTCAGCACCACATAAAAATAAAATAAAGATGTTGTGTCCACCGAAAACTAAAAAATAAATGTTAAAAAATTCTCTCTCTCTCAAAAAAAAAAAAATTGTGGACCATGATCAATTAAGATTCATCCCAGGGATGCAAGGTTGGCAACATAAGGAAATCAATAAATGTAATTCATCACATCAATAGACTTAAAGATAAAGACTCATATGATCATCTAAATAGATGCAGAAAAAGCATTTGACAAAATACAGCACCTCTTCATGTTCAAAACATCAGAAAAACTAGGGATAACAGGAACATATCTCAACATTACAAAGGCTATCTACACTAAGCCCCAGATCAATATCATTCTAAAAGGAGACTAACTGAAGGCATTCCCTCTAAAAACTGGAGCAAGACAGGGATGCCCTCGTTCACCACTTCTATTTAACATATTTCTTGAAACACTGGCCAGAGCAAGTAGACGAAAGAAATTAAAGGGATACGTACAGGAAAGGAAGAACTTAAATTAGCACTATTTGCTGAAGATATGATTCTAGAAGACCCAAAAAGCTCCACCAGGAAATTTCTAGAACTAGTAAATGAATTCAGTAAAGTAGCAGGATATAAAATCAATGCCTATAAATCAAAGGCATTTCTGTAGATCAGTGACAAATCCTCAGAAAGGAAAACTACCTCATTTACAATAGCCTCAAAAAAAAAAAAAAAACTTGGGAATCAACTTAATGAAAGAGGTGAAAGATCTATACAATGAAAACTACAGAACCCTAAAGAAAGAAATCAAAGAAGAACTTAGAAGATGGAAAGATCTATCTTGCTCTTAGATAGGCAGAATTAATATTATCAAAATGACCATTCCACCAAAAACACTATATAGATTTAATGCAATTCCAATCAAAATCCCAATGGCATTCCTCATATAAATAGAAAAAGCAATCATCAGGAAAAATAAGAAAAATCATCGAAATTCATTGGGAAAATAAGAGACCCAGAATAGCTAAAGCAATCCTTAGCAGATGGCATCACTATACCAGACCTTAAACTATACTACAGAGCAATAGTAACAAAAAAAACATGGTATTGGCACCAATGGTAGACCAATGGTACAAAATAGAGGATACAGAGACTAACCCATAAAATTACAATTATATATTAGACAAAGGTGCCAAAAACATGCATTGGAGAAAAGATAGCCTCTTCTACAAATGGTGCTGGGAAAACTGGAAATCCATATGCAACAAAATGAAATTAAACCCCTATCTCTCACCATGCACAAAACTCAACTCAAGGTGGATCAAGGACCTAGGAATTAAACCAGAGACTCTGCATCTAATAGAAGAAAAAGTAGGCCCTAATCCCATCATATCAGATTTGGCCCCAACTTCCTTAATAAGACTCCTATAGCATAAGAATCAAAACCAAGAATCAATAAATGGGATGGCCTCAAACTAAAAAGTCTCTTCTCAGCAAAAGAAACAATCTGTGAGGTGAATAGAGCCTACATCTTAGAAGCAAATTTTTAACCCTTCACACATCAGATAGGGTATATATAAAGAACTCAAAAAGCTAAGCACCAAAAAAACAAATAACCCAATCAATAAATGGGCCAAGGACATGAACAGACACTTCTCAGAAGAGGATATACAATGATTAACAATATTTGAAAAAATGTTCATCATCTCTAGCAATTAGAGAAATGCAAACCAAACTATAAGATATCATCTCACTACAGTCAGAAATGGCAGCTGTTATGAAGACAAACAACAATAAGTGTTGGCGAGGATGTGCGGAAAAAAAGGAACACTCATACACTGCTGGTGAGACTCCAAATTGGTGCAGCCAATATGGAAAGCAGTATGGAGATTCCTTGGAAAATTGGGAATGGGACCATCATTTGACCCAGCTATCCCACTCCTCAGTCTATACCCAAAGGACTTAAAAACAGCATACTACAGGGACACAGCCATATCAATGTTTATAGCAGCACATTTCACAATAATTAAACTGTAGAACCAACCTAGATGCCCCTCAGTAGATGAATAGATTACAAAAATGTGGCATATATACACAATGGAATTTTACTCAGCAATAAAAGAGAATAAAATCATGGCATTTGCAGGTGAATGGATGGCACTGGGGAAAATAATGCTAAGTGAAGTTAGCCAATCCCAAAAAAACAAATGCCAAATGTTTTCTCTGATATAAGGTGACTGACCCATAATGGGATAGGGAAGGGGAGCACCTCTTCTAGATGAAAATAGACGAACTCTAGATAGGGCAGAAGGGTGGGAGGGGAAAGGAGAGGGTAGGGGGTAAGCAATGATGGTGGAATGTGATAGACATCATTATCCAAAGTACATGTATGAAGACATGAATTAGTGTGAACACACTTTATATACAGAGATATGAAAAATTGTGCTGTATATGTGTGATAAAATTATAATGCATTCCACTCTCATGTATTTAAAAAATAAAATCAATTAAAAATTTTTAAAAATGCAATGTATTATTAACAAAAATAAATAATATAGTCAATAAATGGTATCTATGTTATTATAAGCTCAATAACTTTAATACTTGAACATGTGATTAAGGGGAGGGGGGAATAACCACACCACATGAAGAAAACTGCCAAAAGAGAAAGTTTTGAATTACCATTTTATTTCCTACCAGAACCTATTTTTAATCTATCTTCCCTGAAGAGAGAATTAATTTCCAAAGTAGTAATACATTCAAATATGGTAAAGACTTTAAGAATGTCAGTTCTGAAGTTGCTCTGCTAGGTTCAAATCCCACTTCCATCAATACCTGTGAGATCTCGGTCATGCCACTTACTCAGTCATGCCTGTTTCCTCAAGTGCAGAATGGGAGTAGTTCCTGCATTGTAGAGCTTTGAAGAGGGATTGATATTATTTTTAAAGCGTTTAGAATAATGTATGGCACACAGCAAGTGATATGAAAGCTTTTATGAAACTAATGATAAAACAAATAGAGACAGAAGACCTTAACATTGCATGATAAAGCTGATTCTTTTTATTTACAGTAGGTAACGTTCTATAAAGTCACTGCAAACACTGAATGCCAAGCCATTACTCCCAGGGAAACTGTATACATATACATCTTGTATACATTATAACCTGAAATTCTAAAAATAACTCATCTTGGAAGGTTGTTTTCTTTATTGTACAAGAGAAGATATGGTCCCAAAGTGTTAAGTGACTGACCTGAGATTGCCCACTAAAGGGGTCAGAATTGAGTATTGAGTACCCAATGTCCCCAGAGCTAAAGCTCCTTGAGTGGTACAGCACTGGCCTCTCCTCTCTTCACCACCTGGGCATCACTATTTTTGCGGCTGAAACATGGAGGCAGAGTACTGCTTTGTTGGACCCAGGCTGGAAATATGCACAGCAAGAAAATAAAATTTTTCACTGTTGTGCACATGTCCAAAAATGATTGTAAAGTACTGCAATTGCTGATTCAGCAATTGCAAATAAATTTCATCAAGAATGTAAACTTCCAACTATGGGATCTGTGAGTAGTAAGGATCATTGTGCTTCTGTTTCTAAGAGTGCTTTCAAGTTATTGACTAATCTTCAAACCAACAAAGTTTTTTTTGTTGTTGTTGTGATGGGAATCACTTAGGACCTTGCAACTATTAGGCAAGTGCTCTACCACTAAGCTACACCCCAGCACACACCACAGATATTTTTATTCTGGTTTTAAAGAAGAGGGCATCAGGGTTCAAAGGAGTTAAATTTTGCAGAAAACTGCCTAGCTCAACAAGAAGTGACAGCAACACACAGCTGGTAAACAGTAAACTTCTGGGTGAACTGCAGTAACGGTGCTAATGTCCAACACAAACCTCAAAAAAACAAAAACAGGACTGGCTATAGCAGCAAAGACCTTAAGTGTTATCATTTTCTACAAGGAATCAAAACATTATTACTAAAATAGAAATAAACCTAAAGCCTCACTGGAAAGGACTCAACTACCCAGATCACAAATTTTCAGTATGATCAATCTACCCCTACAAAATAAATGTGAGGCTGATGAAAATTCATTTCTAACTTCTGGTGTAATACTAATGGCTCCATGTCCTGCCCATAACAGCTCTATGGGAGGAGTAGTTCCCAGAACAATAACAGTACCACTCATATCTCATTCAAAGGATATAGCGTTCATAAATTGTGCGGGCTCGTTCCACCTCTTTGTATCTTAGCTCAAAGTTGATATAGGAGTGCCAAGCTTGCTCCTCAGGCTGCCACTCCATCCAGCGCTCAAACACCTGGCGGGCACCAGCAATGTTCCCCAACATCTCCTCCATGTATGTGTACTTGTACCTTTAATAAGATCACCCAAAAATATCTGTCATGAGAATGACTTAGGGAAAAAAATGAGCCTGGACAATTTTTAGATATTCTTTTATTAATGGAAAGATTCAAATTGTATCTTTCCTCATGGTTAAATCAAACATGTTTTCCACTGAAATATAAACTTGAAAAAGGATGAACCTTAGAGGGAAAAGTATTTTTTTTTTAAAAAAGTGCCTACTCCAACAAGAAGTTTCTAATTCATGAAATGTTATCGTAATCAAAGTTTTAGTTTTGATTACAAAACTATTTAACATTAGGCTTATGACAATAGATCATTAAAAAGCACTCATAAGATCTTAAAAACAAGATGCAAATTTAATTATATACATTATAACTATATAAATAAAGGAAATACACAAAATTGGGGAACTTTTCTCGTCTATAAAAGGCTGTTCTATTAGATCAGAAACTTACCAGAACTGGTTGACTCGTGGCAGAGTTGTGATGGCACGGTCCCAGATATTTCGGGCATGATTAACTTGGCGATTCTTCATTTCCATTTCTGCATATTTCAGCCACAGTGTAATATTTCGATAGTCTACATCTAAAGCACGCTCGTATATGGATCGTGCCCTTAAGAAGCAAGATTTAAAGGGTATCAAAAAAAAAGTGCATGTAACATATGTAGTAATTATTTCAAACTGTATGAATTTCATTGAGTGTCTACCATGAGCCAGGTTCTGATCATAAAATGATGAAGAAATAGCAAATTCTCAAGTATCTTATAAAGTCTTACAGAAGGATAGGCTAGCATGTAACTACAGTACAATATGATAAACATTATTGTCAAGATCTGCACAGGAAATAGGGAGAAAGAAATGATGATGTGTGGTGGACATCATCTAGCCTAGAATTCTGAACTTGAAGAGAGATCCAATGTATCTGGGGCCTAAGGTTGTGAGGAAGAGTACTCCTTACAGGTAGAGAGAACAGTCAAGTGACATGACAAGGAGAAATAATGTACTGAGGGAGTGGCAAGTACACAGGCACACTAGAGAAAAAGGAGCGAGGGGAGAATGCAGAAAGGCTACATAACACCAAGGATCAGGATACAATTTTTATCTTGTTGGTCACTGTTTTTTGGCAGACCACTTTTATCTTAAAAAAATCTCAATAACATATAAAGCAGGTGAATCTATAGGCAGACTCTAGGTTTCCATATCTGCAGTGTGTGCTGGTGGCAAGACATACCTGTGGAACCTCCTCTTGCCATGATCCTCAGGATTATCCATGAAGCAACCCTGAGGCACTTCATGGGAACCCTTGGGTTCCATGGAACAAATACCAGAGGCATACTCTTTTATTTGTGCTTTAAATTTTCTGTTCTTTTTTACCTGTCAACTTATGACATCTTTACCTACAAAATTATACTCTCAACAATATTTTCTACATTTTTATATCTTTAATTTATAGCATCTTTATATTCACAATTATAATCTTAGCAATTTTACCTTTGAATCTCCTTTAGACTTTCTTCCCATTGTGCGTATTTTATCCAGTTACTAATCACCGTCCTATTTTTTCTTATGTTATCTTCAAAAGTCTGGAAGAAGGCAAAGAGGGTCAATAAACGGAAACTGACTTAAAATAGGATTACTTTTGCCTATTCTAAGCCTTCTTCTGAAACTGTTGTTCATTTTATTCTTATTTAAGAGAAGTTACATGTTGGAGCCTTTGAGAAATAAGAAACTAAAGAAGTTTATAATCACATGTTTCTTTGAGAAAACTGTAGATATAAAAAGTTATTAGCAAAATTGTTGATATTGTCTCTAATCCATGACAACTGATACTTTAATACTGTTAAATATTATTGCTATTGTTGCTCCTCATAAGAAAATGTTTTCAAATATTACCTTTAAGTTCTCTATTGTTGCTCCTCATCAGAAAAATGTTTTCAATTATTACCTTTAAATTCTCTCAGTAATTCTCAGAATTTCCTATGCAACTCATTGAGAATAACAAATAAATGGACACAGCAGGATTAGTGGGTTAAAGTAACCCAACATTCTAGAGTGAGGAGGTCAAACCAGATGCCAAAGCCTTCTTGTGGTTCTTCCCCAGGTCCTAACTCTTAACCACAACAGATGATACAGACAGAAGTACACAATGAGCCTTGCCAAGCAGACTTCTCTTCCACTTGCCAGTTGTTCTGCCTGTTAAACTTCCACCCATCTTTAGTTCAGCACTAAAAATTATGTCTCTAGTGAATTTAATTTCTTTTAAACAGACAATTCATGGCACATTTTTTTTTGGTATACATATATATATATATTTCTATAGAACACAGTTATCTGATAACCAAAAAATATATATTCATGTGGCTAGAAACAGAAAAACTTCATTACATTTTTATACATTCAAAGCAATAAGAAGCTTTCCAAACCAACCTATAAACTCTTAACATTTAGTAGATGAACTGACCTTCCTTTTCCTTAGTTTGTAATCATTTAATTCTTCTTCATCTGTGATCTTCTGTTGAGGTGGAGGTGGAAGAAGCTCAAGTTCTCTTTCTTTAGCCTCTCGTAAAAGTTGTTCAGCAGTTATTTGTACTTCAGCTGGGGCTTTATTTTTTACCTTTTAAGAAAGAAGACATGTCTATTTTTGGTAGATATTCTTTACACAGGGTATAAGAAACAAACACAAAATTTTTAGGATGTGAACTTCCTAAGTATGACTACAAGATGCCCTCTTGGTATGTCATGTTCACATTTCTCCATGAGACTGAATAGGAAAAAAATTTTGATCTGGAATTACACCTACTACAAACAAATAGGTAAAAGTCTCAAGAGAAAAAGGTGGCAAAAAAATTGCAAGTTTTCCCTTTTGGATGACTATAATAAACTGTGAGACTAGGTAAAATTCTCATCAGAGGTATTGCTTTATCAAGAGTTGTATAGTTTCTTACCTAGCATTATGACTTCCATTTATAGAAGTCTTTTTTTTTTCTTTTGGTACTAGGTATTGAACTCAGGGACATCCAACCACTGAGCCACATCCCTAGCCCTATTTTATATTTTATTTAGAGACAGGATCTCACTGAGTTGTTTAGCACCTTATTTTTCCTGAGGCTGGCTTTAAACACGCCATCCTCCTGCCTCAGCCTCCCAAGCCACTGGGATTAAACATGTGCACCACCATGCCCAGCCCATTTACAGAATTCTTAAATTTATTTTAATGCCCTTGTTGATTATTTGGTTTGGTTTTTCATAGCATTTTAAGTCAACTTAAACTTCCTGAACATCATTAGACTCCAAGCTTCTTGAGGTCTTAGAACTGTGTTGTCGAACACAGTGGCTATGAGTCACATATAGTGAGTCTATGTTGAGTTGGCCTATAAGTGTAAAACACTAGTTTTTAAGGCTTAGTATTAAAAAAAGAATGAACGACCTTACTAAACATTTTTTTAAATTTATTTTTTAGTTGTAGTTGGACACAATATCTTTATTTTGTTTACTTATTTTTATGTGGTGCTGAGACTCGAACCCAGGGCCTTGCACATGCTAGGTGAGCACTCTACCACTGAGCCACAACCCCAGCCCTTACTAAACATTTTTATACTAATTACATGATGAACACTTTGAATTCATTGGATTAAATAAAATATATTATTAAAGTCATTTTGCATTTTTAAATGTGCGTATGAAAAATGTTTAAATTACATTTAAATATGGCTATAAATTTTAATATAGCTGGCATTCTATTTCTACTGAACCAGTGATGACAATAAAAGTTTGCAGAATTAGCCAGGCACAGTGGGCAGGAGATCTCAAATTCGCCACCAGCCTGGGCAAGTAAGCAAGATTCTGTCTCAAAATAAAAATGGTTGATGATGTGGCTCAGTGGCAAAGCACTTGCCTAGCATGTGCAAGGCCCTAAATTCAATTCCTAGTACCTCAAAAAAATTGAATAAGAAATATTCAATAAAAATTAATATTTAATGTCATACATGGAGCAATGATGATGATGATGTTGATGATAATTTGTATTTAATGAATACAAGTGCTTTATATGCAGTATCTCTGAAATCCATCTAGACTGATATCTGAAGGTCAAGCTTAAGAAAGCCCTATGGGTTGGAAAAACAAATAGGAAAAAGAGTATCTGTACTGGTTTAGGACAAAGACTGCCATGTATTAAGAACCAGTATCAGCCATCCTTAAAAATACCAGATAATAAATCTACAATTAACTTATTTAAATTGTGTCACTAAGCAACTCCTATTATCTACTCTCATTCCCTCCGATATCAATTGGGCTAACTCTCACGCAGCCTTCAAGTCCTAGGCAAGTTTACTCTGCAGACCCGCCTACACAACCCTTTTGCTTGAGTAACATTTAGCAAGACTGCCACCTCACATTTACTCGTGTTTTGAGTAGTGCAAACTGCCCGTTTAGGGTGAATTCCAGCACCTAACACTGTGCTTGGCTGGACAAATATTTGCTGAACGACCCCACCTTGCCCTGCAAGAATTACTTCCAGAACGAGGGCTATGCCAATCAGTGCAAGTCGTGCTCTAGGGAGCAAGACCCCTAGTCTCAACACCGATAGCCCCTTCCCCTAGTTTCCCCTACGGACTCTCCCAGAGAGGGCCTGTCCCCCAGACAATACCCTCTTGACCCGGGCACCACCGGGGCTGCGGGTGGGGGGAAGCCTCTTTTCCGGACCCCCTCCCACAAAGCCCCTCTATCGCCTACCTTGGCCACTTTGGGAATGCGCTGTTTCCCGGCTGCGGTGGAGGCCGCCATGTCTGCAGCAGCTGGCTTCGGGAGATTCCCTGCCCTCACCAGACCCCAGAGATCACCCCAGAGGGCTCGCCAAGACCACAAAGCTTTCCGACAACAAACCGAGTGCCGGAACCGGAAGCGGAACTCGCTGGGCTGACCTTTGGCCTTCCTCACGCGCCGTGACGAATGCGGCGCCGTTTCCGTGGTAACCAGGCTGCGCGTCCTCTTTGGAGCTGTGGGTGGAGTGCGGCTTCTTGGAGTTGCCGGTAAGGTGGGTAACGCTGGCTTGCCCCTCAGGCACGCAGGGTCTGGGTCTGTCTCCGGGACTCGGTGGATTTATCCAGCCGTGGTACCCTGCAAAAAGCAGGAACCAAGCCCGGAACTGGATGCTCGAGGGTGAGGTCAGAGGGGCAGGTGAGGAAACTACCATTCCCAGCGTGCTCATGGACAGCTGCCGCGTTGCTTGGCTGACCGCCGCCGCGGGGCATTCTGGGTTTTGTAGTCTCCGAGGTCTTTCCCCTTGTTTTTGATTTCCCAGAAGTTGTATGGAAATAATGAACTCGGAAGATTTGGAATTTAAAAAAACAGGAGGCGTGTTGAAGTCAGACAGTAGGAAAAAGTGAAAATACCTCGGTAGACTAACAAACCACTTAGCCTTATTTTAGAAACTGATGTTTAAATACATGATTTAAAATTTTTAGCCTCAATGTATTCAAGTATAAAATGAATTTAGTAAAACTTATTTCCCTAGGATTAAGGAGGTAATCTATATAAAATGCTTAGTAAGTGCTAGCTGGCCTGCTTTCAATATCAGAGTAATCAAGCCATTATTAAGAAAAAATTTTTAAATATTTTTTTGTAAAAGAAGTTAACAGCAAAAAAAAAATTATAAAAGAAGTTAACAGCAAATTTTTTTTAAAGAAGTTAACAGTAAAATTGAGTGAAAGGTATAGAGATTTCCCACCTACCTTCTCCACCTACCCAGTCCCTCCCTTGCCACAAAGCCTCTCCACTAGCAACATACTTCTACAAAGAGCCCACAGTGACACCTATCAGTTAGAGTCCATGGTTCACGTTAGGGTTCACTACTGATGTTGTACATTCTTTGGATTTGGACAAATGTATGATAATGTGTGTCCACCGCTATAGTAAAATACTGAGTAGTTTCACTTTCCTAAAAATCCTCTGTGTTTCACCTGTTCATCCCTCCCTCCCCCAAACCTCTGTGGACTACTGAACATTTTTACTGTCTACATAGTTTTGCCTTTTATAGAATGTAATATGGTTGGAGTCTTATAATAAGTAGATTTTTCAGATTGGCTTCTTTCACTTGAAGACATGCATTTAAGTTTCCTCCTTGTTTTTTAATGGCTTGATAGCTCACTAGTTAAAAGGATTTCCACCATTGCAAGGCTCTTGGGTATTTGGAAAAAATATATTTGTATATTTATGTATGTAGTGATATCACACATACTTACACAGATATTGCTTCAAAAAATTATGCACAGATATTGCTTCAAAAAATTTATGCAGATTTGCAAAACTCAATTATAATCAAAACCAAAATATTTTCTCTAGCTTGGTGCCATTCATTTTATTTAAATATTTTATCTCAGCTTTCAATAATTAAATAAATTGAATGAAAAAAATTTATGTCACTATCATAAGAAGAAATCACCTAATGAAAATAAACAAATAGCTATTGTCATTGACTTGTAGGTGGAGAACTTCCCTTGAACTCTCTCTTCCTTTTCTAGTCGCTTTAATTCATCTCTCTATACTTTATTTTATTATATTCAGAGTTTTTACATTCTTGTAGAATTATCTTATGATATCATATTTCACAAACAAGTTGATTCATTTCTGTTTTGCTTTTAAGTTAAAACCAAAACCAAAAGTGATAATATTTATGGATAATTTTAACAGGTGTCTAGACTTTATTCTTCATAGAAATCACCAAATTTCACAATCACAAGGATTATGGAAAATATAATTGAGTATTTAATCTTTCATATTGTAGTTAGTAAGGTTGTGATCACCTCCTTTGAAACAAGACTATTATTCTAGTACTTCTAATGTTTCTATCAAATTTGGAGTGAGAAACACCTTGAGGTAAGACACCCTTCAGTGATTATCTCTCTCAGATGAGCTATCATGCCCACCCTAGCATGAAGTCAATGTTTGAGCTCATAAAACTGAAAATTGTGGGGGGGGGGGGGAGCATGGAAGAATGGAGGAACTTTGACTGGGCAAAGGGGAGGAAGGGGAAGAGAGGGGACATGGGGTAGGAAAAATGGTGGAATGAGATGGACATCATTACTCTAGGTACATTATGACTGCACATATGGTGGAACTCTACATCATACACTATCAGCGAAAAGAAAAGCTATGCTCCATTTGTGTACAATGAACCTAAATGCAGTCTACTGTCATGTATAACTAATTAGAACAAATTAAAAAAAAAACAGAAAATTCTGAAATTACATATGTCTCATCAAAAAAGAGGGTAGTGGGAAAAGAGTCTCAAAATAAGTTTCATATTAAAAATTTCTGGATGTGAATAGTAGTGGTGGTTGTTCAACTATGCAAATGTACCTAAAGCCACTAAAATATACATTTTAAAATGGTTAAAATAGTAAATTTATGTTGTGCATGTTTTTGTCACAGTAAAAAGCAGAATTGAGGGGCTGGGGTTGTGGCTCAAGGGTAGAGCGCTTGCACATGCCCTGGATTCGATCCTCAGCACCAAATAAAAAAATAAATAAATAAAATAAAGGTATTGTGTCCAACTGCAACTAAAAAAAAAAAAAAGCAGAATTAAGCTCCTTATATAAAGTTCATGCTTTCCAAAATGATGAGATACTAATGAATTGCTCATGTAATTAAAAATTCATTTTGAAATTAAATGTTAAGAACAATCTTCAGAGTATAAAATCAGTTTATATTGCCACTGGCTTCTGTAAAGCCATCTTGGAAAGGAAATACTATCAGGTCATCAAAACTTGACTACAACCTGGTATGTTACTTTTTCTAGGAAAGAATGTATTAATCACAAAGGGTCCTATGGTTAACAATGTCCACCCAAGTAAATTGTCTCACCTTTGATTTTCTTGACTTGACATCTTCATAGTGGATGATGACCCTCTCAGGCTTCAGGAGCTGTGAGCAGCTTCTTGATGTCCACTATTTCAGATCCTGAGAATGTCCATACTAGATAGTGATATTAGTCATGATAGCTAGTAAGTACTTGAGTGTTTAACTACAGGCCACACACTGAGTTCACTGTTTTGCATATCATAAGTAATTCATAAATCTCTTTGAGGTATGTATATTATCTGTGATTTATAGATGGTAAGCTGAAGCACATAGAGTTTAAGTAACTTGCCCAAAGTCACACAGCTAAGAAGTGATAGACACTATCATCCCTGATAGTCTGGTTCTGCAGCCTAAGCTCTTCACTACAGCCCCAAGCCACTCCTCTGAAAGCCACCTTCAGTAGCTGGGCTTTCCCTATATTTGATCTAAAAAAAAGAGAGTTCTTGAGTGGCCTTGCCACAGCATAAAGAAATCTTTATTTTTTTAATCTGCTGAGTATGAAAAAGACTGAGCTAATATTTCAAGTTTTGGAGATGTTACATAAATACCAAGATTGTCTTCCTTTGCAAAATGATGATCTGTCATTATCAACCCATGCTTATGTAAGACAATGCCTGGCTGGTGTTGAGGATGGCATGAGTTCCCTAATTTGGTGCAGTCGCCTGACATCAAGACTACATGACAGTGGCCACAAAGTACACAGAATAAATCTTGTGTGCCCTTTTTATCAAAGTCAAAGAAATCAGGTTTGTATTTAGTTCGTATAACTCTGCCTGGGCTACAGAGACATCTAGACTGTGCAGCTGTTAATTTTCTCATTATAAAATGGGAAATTACTAAGAAATGAATAAATTGGTAATTTGGACCCTTTCTCAGTTTTTGTGAGCTCTGGGGGAATGGGGGCTGCCCCCAAGAGCTGGGTTTTCTTTATGGGTACTAACAAACCCCCTTCATAAGCCTGTGAAGTTGAGGGTGGTAAAGGCTACTGGACAACAATTCCTGATGCCACCCTGCTGTCTTCCCAGGTTCCCCTCTATATCCCCTCACATCCAGCATGTTTGATGTCTAAAGGTTTGTGAGTGGTCAAGCAGCAGTTTAATCTGAATATAAGATGACAGTGAAAACAAAGGGACCATTTACCCACAAAGCACACAGAGGGGAGTGGCGTAGGCTGTGCTGGGAAGAAATGCCCAGGGTTCTGTGTGTGAACAAGCACATGTATCCTGGGGCAAGTCACTTCAGTTCGGGGGTCTTAGTTTTCTTATCTGATGAAGGAGGAGCTCAGTCCAGTACTCTTTCAAGCCTCTGTAGCATTCAAGTTCTTTGGTGTATAGTAACAACAACAAAAAAAAAAGGTCAAATGATACAGTATGTTTTATGAGAAAAATAATATGTAATATATAACATGAAATATATATATAATATACACATATATAATTCCATTTATATGATGTTCAAAATTTAGCAAAAGATCATCTTTGTGATCGAAGTCAGATTGGTGGTTATCTTTGGAGCGGGTATTGACTGGGAGTTGCCCTGAAGCAGCCTTCCCGGGAGTAGGGAATGTTCCATATTGTTCTATTTTAAGTCCACTGGTTAGTGTGTAATAAATCAGTTTTCCTTAGTTAGGGAAGGAGATAAGAGGAATGTTAAAGAGAGACAGACAGATTGAGAAATTGAGACCATTTTATGACCTTTTGTTCCTGTTAGCAGCATTTCTCAAAGTGTCTAACTGGAACTTAGACTCTATATAAGAGAGTCTGCTCAGAGACTACTGTGGGAAATGCTGGTTTATAAAAAGTAAACAGATTACATTATTCAGGAACATATCAACGCCTTTAATGGGTGTGTTAGTTGACTTTCCATCACTGACAAAATACCTGAGATAATCAACTTTAAGGAGGAAAGGTTTATTTTGACTCATGTTTTCAGAGATTTCAGTCTACAATAACTTGACCCCATTGCTTTGGGCCTGTGGCAGCACAGTACGTATGGTAGGACCATATGATGGAGGAGGTTTCTTCACCTCATGGTGGCTAGGAAGCAGAGAAACACAGGAAGGGGACAGGATCCCAATATTC